TCATTCTGTTCTATATCCCTAAGTTCGGACAAAAATCCCAATCTCCGTGGCTCATGGTCGTTTTTTACCACCGTCGAGTACCAAGTCTAGTTCAACATGTGGAAGAAAGGGATTCGGAAAAAAAATGACATGCAAACTATGATCGTAAGATACAGAGTGCAAATAAAATTAATTGTTTACATAAAAATAATTTTCAACATTAGCATCCGAATTTCTCCACCATGGAAAGATCACGTTCATTCTACGTTTAAGAGATAAGGAGATCACTGAATCGTTCAAGGAACTCTTGCGTTTTCTAATCTTCAGCTCAATGCGGTATATTCGGCGACCAAAGCGTTTTTGGTCTGAAAGAAACAGTTACTCCATCATTTTACAAGATAAGCTGATTCACTCACGGTTGCAATGATAGATGGGGATCTGGCGGCGTTGAACTCGGCGGAGTGGTTTCATCATTATTCTGGGTTTCCAAGCATTTCCCCTGGAGGAATTGTCCAGATGGTTGGAAAGTGGCACTAGGCAAGGAAACGTTTGATAAGTCTTGCTCAACTTGTTCAGGGTTGGTTAAACGATGTGCGCCTGATCCACCTGGTGAGGAAGGGCTGGCCCTTTTACGATAGCAGATCGCGGATTTATTTGTCAAGATTTTTGGTGTATTTCGGCATCTGGTCGAAAGCACTGTTCCTTGTAGCAGTTCCACCCGGGTTCGGAGAATTGGACCTGTCGCAGACCACATGTCAGTCACCATTTATTCCGTTCATGCAGCTTCGCCACGTTTTGTGGCACTTGTTCGTACGCGAACCATCCAGCAGAGCTGCGAAGGCTGTTACGATATCCCTACATTACAAGTGCTGTGCTGGAAGGTTTCTTAAGTACCTGCTGAGCTGTCACTTAAGAGTGCGGATCGCGATAAAATCGTTACAGAATTCTCTTTTTGAGTGAGGTAGCAGGAGCCCTAATTCAGAAGGTGGATGGTGGGGGTCCAGTAAATATTGGTCTCCTTGCCTGCACTGTAAGTCAGCCGCCGTACCCATCCAGTTGTGATAGCTTTCTGTTATCCCCACCCAAAGAAATCATCTCTGAGTAATGATTTAATCGCGACCCGCGCTTTCAAGTGACTGCTGAGCAGATCCTTGAGCAGCTTCCAGCACAGCACTTGTAATGTAGGGATTTCGTAACAGCCTTCGCAGCTCTGCTGGATGGTTCGCGTACGAACAAGTGCCACAAACGGCGACTGCATAGGGAATAAAGGACTGACATGATATACGCAGACAGTCCAGTTTTCCGAACCCGGGTGGAACTGCTACAAGGAACAGTGCTTTGGACCAGATGCCGAAATACACCAAAAATCTTGACAAATAAATCCGCGATCTGTTATCGTAAAAGGGCCAGCCCTTCCTCACCAGGTGGATCAGGCGCAACACGTTTAACCAACTGCCACAATTGATCAAACTATCAACGTTTTCCTCCTAGTGCCACTTCAACCATCTGGACAATTCCCCAGGAAAATGCTTGGAAACCCAAAATAATGATGAAACCACTCCGCCGAGTTCAACGCCGCCAGATCCCCATCTATCATTGCAACCGTGAGTGAATCAGCTTATCTTGTAAAATGATGGAGTAACTGTTTCTTTCAGACCAAAAACGCTTTGGTCGCCGAAATATACGCATTTGAGGCTGAAGATTAGAAAACGCAAGAGTTCCTTGAACGATTCAGTGATCTCCTTATCTCTTAAACGTAGAATGAACGTGATCTTTCCATGGTGGAGAAATTCGGATGCTAATGTTGAAAATTATTTTTATGTAAACAATTAATTTTATTTGCACTCTGTATCTTACGATCATAGTTTGCATGTCATTTTTTTTCCGAATCCCTTTCTTCCACATGTTGAACTAGACTTGGTACTCGACGGTGGTAAAAAACGACCATGAGCCACGGAGATTGGGATTTTTGTCCGAACTTAGGGATATAGAACAGAATGATTTTATAATATCCGTCGGGGCAAACTATATAATGTGAAACATAAGAGGAATTATGATATTATTCTACTGCCAACGACGTTAGGTGGAGATTTTATTAGTGGCCTGACGTTTCGACGAGATCGTCTTCCTCAAAGGCCTAAACGTGGCTTAAGGTTTGAGATTTGTCCTTTAAACCGCCAAACGCCGCTTCTCCCTAGCGTTTCTGACGGAACGTTAAGGAGAACAAGCGAAAACCCCGAACGAGGGAAATAAACTCACCCAGCTCACCACCGCAAGAGCAAACCTTAAGCCACGTTCAGGTCTTTGAGGAAGACGATCTCGTCGAAACGTCAGGCCACTAATAAAATTCTCCACCTAACAACCTCGTTGGCAGAAGTATCATAATAACAACAATGCCGAGGTTCTACGAAGAGGGAAGTTGGAGTTTGCTGAATAAGAGGAATACTTTTTTCGAGCCTTCGTAATAAAGGAAATGTTTACTGTGGTTGTAAATGTTTCGGTGCTTTGTATAATGCCCCTCTCCTTGCGGGACTGCGTTATTATGTGTACATATAGCCTTGATCCTCCCTTCCATCAAAACGTGGCGGAATGGCTTTGGGCGCAGCCCGACGCACTGCTTATGGGATCCAGGCGCTAGCTCTCTCTCGCTCAAAGGTTAGAGTCGTACTTTTCTGAGACAAGGGGAAAAGCCCTGACTCGGACGACGACTCTGACGTGAAATTTGAAGATGCGAATGGTACGGCAACGCTGCGTGAATGTCAAATTAATAGTATATAAGCAGCAGAAAAAATAGAAGTTCGAGGTAGAGGTAGTTGCTACGGGTGTCCGGAGGTCAGATGCCATGTGGACCACGTCAGGGCTATCGAGGTCTCCCGTCTCCTAAGGGTCGGTTGAATGACACAAGACCTGATATCGCAAAACGACTCTCATTCGGTGAAAGTGTGGCCCATCGGGGGTTACGTTGTCGTCAATGGGTTAATATAATAGTAACGAAAAGCGGCGGGGCTACGAATCAACGATCAACGTAATAATACACACGTTTTCATGAAAAGGCCTAACAGTAGGCAGAAAAGCATATATTTTCATCCTTCGTTTCGCAACTATTACTTACGGCTGAAAGTATAGTGAAAGCTAGTGAGTCATGAAACCAGACATCCTAAAGGATCGGGCAAAAACACGCACAGTGAGACCTGGCTTAGTGCAGCAATTACGTACGACTTGGTCACTAGCACGCGGATTACTTGGATTTGCTGGAGTACAGCAGCAGAAACCTGTCAGGCATTCAAAAACAAATACAGACAAAAGCAATTTGGATTGGTGGAGAGCTTAAGAGCCGTGAAATTTCCGGCGCCCGAGGGCTACACCAAGTCCCTGTCCAATAATCAACGGGATAAAAGATAACACGGCAAATTCAGACGACGCTAACTTTCTACACTTGTCAATTCTCCAGCGTCAAACCTTTGAGCCTAATCAACTTCAGCGTGCCCTTTTATTGGCTTAAAGGCCAGAAAAATGATCCTTTCAGAACCATCTACATAATTCC